TGTTTTTTTTTTTTTTTTTGTCTGATATATCCGTATTACAACTGTAGTTAACGTCTTCAGAAACCAAAATGAAACCTACGGGTTTGATAAAAAAAAGTTCACTTACATTAATTTCTGGAAAGCCTTTAGCCGCAACGATAACAGTGTAGCAATATCAACCAAAACAGTAACGTAGGTAATGGCGGAGGCAGTAAAAGAAAGTTCGTTCGCATCTATTTTGAAATAGGATTTAACGACATCAAAAACAGTAGTAGCAACACTTTGAAATGCAACGGCGAGAATAGCGTCCAGCACGTCAAGCGGAAGTCCACTAGCATTCGCTTTGGTCTAAGCTATAAGGACAACAGCGACAATATCTTGAAAAGCGAACAACAGGACGAGAAGAATAAGAAAAGGAAAAAGTTCACTTGGGGCCACTGCCGTATATCACTAAACAACAGAAGCAGTAGCAGCAGAGAGGATCATACGAACAATAGCCAGAGTGACAAGAGCCGAGTAACGTGGTTATTCCACGTGAATTTCAGTCAGTTATTTGACAGCAGCATGAGACCAACAACATCTCTAAAAGTAGAAGCGAGGACAGAAACGATAAAACGAAATTAATTCGCATTCATTTCAGTGTTCCATTTGAGAGGGACAGTAACAGCAATAACTGGAAAAACAGCAACAAGCATAACATCAACAATGAGAAGAAGTGGATTCGCGCTAATTGGATAGAAGTACTAAACGACAGCAATAATAGCAGCCACATTCTGTGAAACAACTGCAGGCATAACAATAATAACAACAAACGTTAAAGGGAATTTTCATTCGCATTAAATTTGGTACTCTAAGTTGAAGCAGTAGTAATAAGAGCGGCAAAGGCAAGCGATACAACTGATGGGGCTTCATATGCACTGAGGTTGGCGTAGAATTTTGATAGTTACAACAGCAGCATCCTTAAAACCGGGAACTAGGGAAGTAGTGATAAAAATATAATTCGCAAACATTTTGATGCAGCATTTCCCAATGCCGCTGCTGGCAGTAGCACCGCCATCCTGAAATTCATAAGTAAGGGCAACAATGAGAAGAAAAAGTTCATTTGCGTCCAATCTGACAACCCATTTGTAGGCGACAATAACAGCGGCATTATCCTTAACGAAATTACGATGCGCCAGGCTTGCCGGGGATTGTGCGTTTTTGCGTTAAACTTGAAGCAGTCAGAACGTTAACTTTATGAATGTTGTATATTCATATTCTATGTACAATCAGAACATTGTTGTACACTCAACTCTAGGAGTGTTGTACAATCAAAACGTTGTTTTACTTGTGCATTCGTTACCGTAAATTACCACAAATCTTGCATAAAGAAAAATGTATGATTTCCTGTGATTGATTGTTTATTGAAGATGACCTAGCGCTTTAGTTCAAAATGGGCAATTTTTCCGCCAAAACATTGGCGTTTCTGTGCAACAGAACCAGGCTTGCTTAGCAACTAAGTTTGAAATCTTTAAATTGCGCGTGGACAGGAAACATTCCTTTAGGGTTTCTTCTTTTCTGGTCCCTGATTTGACAATTTTCTTGCCAAAACTTTCACCTGCCCAAAGTTGAGTGTAGAATTGTGTAAAAGTTAGTACCGCGGCCCTAGGACAGCGTTTCACCAGAGAACTCAACGGCAACATTTCAGCGCCAATGTTTGCCCGATTAGCGAGCTAAAATACCCGGATTGGCGAGAACATAGACACAGACACAGACGCACACACACACATCATGGTTCGTCACATGAGTTTATGCATTTGCATAAATATGAAAAATTAATTGCAAAAATGCGTAAAAACGCATAAAAATTTAGAATATCTATCATACGTAATTGCTGGCTGAATTATCCTGATAGCCATGCACACAAACGCAATTGTGTCAAAATCCACTTTTTTGACCATCGTAAAAACATTCAAAGTGCTTTTCCAGTGTTGTCTTTTTGGAAAAATACCCATTCTAATAAAGTTATTCAAAAGTGCAGAGATACACGGGACGCCAGACGCGATTTCGTACGTCCTCATGCGTTTACTTTATCATAGCTGATATATCAGCGAGTCGTTATGAATTCAGAGCAACGCATGTTTTTTCTTCCAAAGCAATGTTAATGTATAGCACTTTCGGCAACACCTGGAATTGCTGGCCCAGCTGTAACTCACAGTCAAGTTCTCTAACTATGTGGCTGGTAACTGTTTCAGCTGCCTTGACTATTTCACCGCACAGCTTGCTGATCGGCCTGTCGCTCGCTTGATTTTCTACCATTGCTCACTATTTTTATAATTAGAAAAATTTATAAGCAAGCACATTACCTGTGTTTTTTAAAAAACCACACATTTTAAAAATAGCCCTTTCTAGCACGATTTAATCCTTTTTAATTGGCTGGATGCACCAAGAACCGCGGTCTAGAAATACCCAGGATTAGTCAGAGTCCAAAGTAGAATGGGGCTAAATAACAGCCGGCGCTCACTAAATTCCTTAGTATTCTTTATTCTCTTATACAAATAATTAACTTGAACATCAAAGATTTGATGAATTACCGCATTCATTAGTTTCCACATGCCTGCATCAAGCAAAAATTCAGCATACAGAGGAGCTGGTGGTTTCTCGTTCAGATAATCTTATGTTTTACTTGACAAATTATAAATATTAAGGATTCGAAATTATAACTTGTAGTTAACTGGGTAGACGTAGATGAGTGCATCGTCGCCTTTATCACTTGACCGCGTTATTTATCCAGCCTAGCTTATTTCGAAACTGTGTATCAGGAGACAGTGAAGTTTAAATGCTAATGTGGGTTATTAGCTCACATAGTTTGGAGAACTACAAAGCTTCAAAAAACAGAAGTTCTTTCATGAGTCTGGAATAAAAAAATTGCCCGGAATTTTGCGTTTAGTTATCGAATGTAGAAATACGGGGGGACCTGAAAGTTGACTCATGATCCTTGTTGCGAAATATACTCGTTTCTGAGTCTGTGGTAAAGTCAAGCGTTTCTCATTCCCACTTGTAGGGAATTTCGCTTCCAAGCAGAATTAAGACCATACATGAAAGTAAAATATCCCAGCGAAGTTTCAGTCTCGCACCTTATTTGGTAAATGAATTAGCTGCTTCGCTACAAAAAATATTTAAAGTGCCCCGAGTCGTGGCGCAAGCGCAGACTAGAATTCACTTTAATTATGCGGTTTTCCATATGGGTGATAAACATGCTGACAAAATTTCAGCCGCTGTTTTCCAGCTAGTTTTTGAGTTAGCGCAGTGCCAAATGCAAACTTTGACTTGGTCGCATGCACTGCACAAGTGTGCGCGGCAGCTGGATTTGAAATCTTCAGCTCACACATGCACAGAGTATATCCCTGCAAATTTTCAATTCTGTGCCTTGCCTAGTTCGCGAAATCTTTTCCCGCCAAAAAAACTTGCACTTTTTTTGGGAGTCCGCACGCGAGGTTCAGGTGCGTATGAGTGAAGATTTCAAAATCGGAGCGTCTCACACTGGGTGGGAATATCAAAATTCCAGCCTCCCAGCTTTCCTGGTTGCTGAGATGAAGGCGGGTGACAAATGAACTTTGTCGTCCCGAACACACACACACATCTCGACAATATGCATTTTTGCTCACTGTTGCAGCATTATAGCACTGCACAGCAAAAACGCATGATAACAACGGCAGTATGGATCTAGATTATGCACATTTGCCCATTTTTAGAACGCTGTCAGCTTTTAGTTTTTGCTGTGCGAACTATTACAAAACCGTTTGTCCTAAAAATAAATTAGATTTTAAGCAATAAT